GAAACCCTAGGTTTTTTCCCTTACTGACTCACAGTGTTCCTTCTGAGAACAAAGAGGTTATACTACCAACTTCACCATGCTCAGAAAAGGCGAGCTGTGTTTCTCTTGAGGACAATTACACCCTATGAGTGCCAATTTTAAATAGTATCCAAAACCAACAGAAGGTGCCCCCACTGCCTGTGTTCCCACAGTTCTACTGTCTGTCACAGGATTTCCCAAATCACAGATCCTATGAATGGCAGACATTAAAGTTACCACAGCATGTGGATACATGTTCGGTTGCTTCTAAATTCAGTTGTCAGAGAAAGAAACAGACAGGCAATGGCTAATATATAGTTTGCTGACAGAATGAACATTGGGTCTTTTTTTAAAAATTTGTCTTTTGAACCAAGGCGCAAAAGCTTTTCATCTTCCCCTCTCTACATCTGCTTTCTCTGTTACCAAATGCCTTTCTCCTCCACTGTCCTTGCCACCTACGTCAAATAGAAGGCTCAGAAGTGACTTATGTGGATGACATCAGTAAATACCACCAACAAACCAAATCATGAGCCACCGTCTGGGTCTCTAGATCAGAACACTCGGCTAAAATACTCTGCCTACTTTGCACCTCATTCTTGGGGGTTGCTTATATGGGTCCATTCCCACTCATTCACAGTCAGACATCTACAGTGTACAATTGCTCTTGCCAAGAGATGTCTCCTTAAAGGGCAAGAAGAGAGCCTACATCCGCCTAGTCTCACCCTGTCCTGCACACATCAGTCACTTTCTTCCCCCAACTCAAGCAAAACCACAGGCTCCAACAAGCCCCCAGGATTGACAGTGTCCTCTCTACAAATGCTTCAAAGCCTGCAGCTGCTTGCAATTCATGGCACACCTGTCCACCACAGGCTGCAAAGCTGATGCATTGGTATCCCTGGCGCCCTCCATCAGGTTCAAGTTAATGGTCGTAGTACCAACTTTCTTCCACACTAGCTTACACTTTCTAGCGGCTTCAAACCCTACCCTTCTCAAACACACTTTTTCATAAAATGCTAAAATCCTTAAGACAATAACCTTTCCCAAATAGCAAATCAGCCTTTCTGCCTCTGTACCTTTTAGAAAAGGGATTTCCTGCCTTCATCCATGCAGGTGGAATCTACACACTGGGGAGAAATCCCGCTATTAACATCACAGTAACAACACACGGAGCTGCACGAACAGGTAATGGATGAAGACGGAAGACAAATGAAGAATGAGAACAATCATTCTTTTCTTCAGCACAGACACCACAATGTCCTAGGAACAGCTTGAACATAGCTAGCCAATACACTAGCCAATACATCTGAACACCCATCCTCCCCTTTTTGGTGAATGGCTGCGCCCACAGATACTAAACTCTGAAGGGAAAATAAGATCCAACTCTTTCCAACTGGTACTCATCTAGAGAGCACTCAACTTACTATATAAATGAAACGCCCTGAACAAATATTGAATCAGGGTCTATATTTTAAGGCCCAGTGCTAGCTTCTGGGAACAGAGAAGAGACAGAGGTCCTTCCCTCGAGGAACTTTCAATTAAACACACAAGCACAAGTGAAGAACTGAGTGCCGGGTGCAAAAGTGTACCAATCACATTTGGTTGCTATGACAGGTACTGGGGGGGGGGGCTGACTTTAGCTCATGGTTTCAAAGCCTTCAGTCCATCCAAGCTCAGCTGACTCTGTTGCTTTTAGGCCTGTGGCAGGAAAAATACTAAGAAAGAAAGGAATGGGAGAGGAGAGCTGTCCCCACCCACCCACCTACCACACCCACCGCAGTCAGGAAACAGGGAGTAGAGAGGAAGGGGCCACGTGGTGAAACAATTCCTCCAATCAGGCCCCGCTTCAGGTTCCCCATCTCTGAACAGTCCATTTGACTAAGAACTATCAACACATCCAGCTGTTGGCTAGGTCGGGCCTTTATAGACCCATCACTTCTCCCAAGACTCTACTTCTGAACATCATACTGCGGACCAGGCCTTCAACACATGAGCCACAAGATGGGGACACAAAGAATCTCCTAATATCCAAGTAGGATCCAATTAGGATCAATACTTGTCCCTCTCCCCCACCCGAGACAGGGTTTCTCTGTAGCTTTGGAGCCTGTCCTGGAAAACACTTTGTAGACCAGGCTGACATCGAACTTGCAGAGATTCACCTGCCTCTGCCTCCTCCCGAGTGTTGGGATTAAAGACGTGCACCATGCACCACCACACCGGTAGATCAATTCTCCTACCATGAAGGGTACATTCAAAATGCCAGCCCAGAGCTCAGGAAGGGCATGTCCTGTGCCTGGGACTCGGGGGCTGCCTATAGCTCTGAGTCAAACAAGTTATTTTTCAGAAAATAGTCTACAGACAGAACAGACAACTCAGAGGGAGTAAGTGTTCCAGTCAGTATCTGTGACCTCTGATTAACCGAGACCTTGGGTTTGGAAGAGGGGTTCTGAACCGACCCAGAAGAACTGGCACTGAGAGGGGATGATGTCCTTTCATGGCAATGACCTCAACAGCTGGGAAGGCGCAGAAATGGACTGAAGGGTCACAGAGAGTAAGACAGAAAAGACAACAATTTAGACCTAGAGGAAGCCTGGTCAGCCTCAGAATCAGGCATCACCTAGATCACAATAAGCCAGACTCACACATCTGAGAAATCCAATGACTACAAAACCAGGGTGGAAGAGCTCTAAGGTATCAGTCAGGAGACTTGCTGGTTGGCTGTGAGATTATCCTTCTGTCAAGGTGGGGTGGGCGGATGGAAGCAGCACCCCACAGGCGCTGGGAAATACTCTCAACACTGCACACCCAGCACTTTTTTTTAAAAAAGTCAAATAAAACAGAACACATTCTGCTATGCAAAGCACCCACTTGAGGGGGGGTTGTTTTGTGAAACATTTGGTTCAGATATGCAGCCACCAATGAATGTGTTTGCAGAAGCATGATCAAGATGTAGAACAAGCGTCCTATTGTAGGCAGTCTAAAGGCTGGGAAAGCACCGGACAAGAGGATTTGTGAGGTGTCTTCAGATTCTAAGATTCTGGGGACCAGGGATGGGTAGGTGTTCCACCTGTAATACCAGCACTTGTGAAGTAGAGGCAGGAAGTGATGGCCAGTCTCAGCTACATTGTGAGTTTGAGGTCAGCCTATGATTCACAAGTCCCTGTCTCCAAAAAGTTTAAGAAACTGAAAATTAACAAAAAAATTCACTTATTTTAGATATGAGTTCTAGTATAACATTAAATAACCCACAAGCAAAATTTAGAGCTATCGCTAGGTAATTCAAATTTTAACTTACCCCCAAACAATGCTTCTTATATTCAACAGACTGCAGAAGGTAACTACACCTCACCCATGTGGTAAGACAGACACATACACACACTCAGAGTGATGGAGCAACCCTATAAAAGGCGTTCGTTTCCATAAAGACAGGCCCACATAGGAGGAATGTTCTGTATTTTTATAGAAATTCTAAACATCTAGTACCAAAATTTATTTTTAATACCTACACTACAGCAGATTCTAGTAGTTCAAGATTGTGCGACATGTGCTTTTTAAAAATAACTTTAAAAAAACCTGTGTATATAGTGTATGGGTACAATTACTGAGGTGACAGGACAGCCTGGGAGAGCCAGTTCTCTCCTTCCGCCTTTGAATTCCACGAAGAAACATTGGACAGCAGGTTTGCCCTGCAAAGCACCCTCCACTTGCTGAGCCATCCGACTAGCCCACATACTTTTTCCAGGCTGGGTCTTACTGTAGTCCTGGCCAACCTAGAACTCGCCACGTAGCTCAGGCTAGCCTCTGCCTCCTGAGTGCTGTGGCAAATCACACACCACCACTCCCTGATTGTGATGCATGCTTTCGAAAGCCTTTCTTAGAACAGGTGGCATGCAACGACTTGTGGATTCTCAGCCAGACCTCAGGACATCTGCGGCCTCGTCTACCTACATCGTTTTCCAAAAGCTATGCTCCAGTTAAGGGTATCTCCAAGACCTCAGAAGAATTTGAGCAAGAAGCACAGAGTGAATACTAAGTACTTCTCTGTTATACAAGCCATTTCCCCCACAGGCACAAGGGAAAATTTATGAACATGTGTGCAACTAAAATCATTACTATTAGCCATTCACTTGAGCCCAGCAAATAGGACTTTTCATGAGAACTATACAAAGGTCTCTAACAACAACAGTGCCTATTGCCCTAACTCTGGAGGCTCGTTCCTCTAAAGAAATCCAAGCTCATTACCGACAGGACCTCGGGTACGGCTGCCACCTGTGCCATAGGGATTACGTGGGAAAGGTCATAAGCACCCAACAGGACGGCACTAGACTCTCCCACAAACCAAACGTTTGTCTAAGTTAAGAGTACAACTCAAGCGTTTTTCCTTTTTCTTCCCCCCCCCACCTGGTCTGTCGGACTATGAAATTTATGCCTGGCATGTAAAAGACCCTCAAAAACCACTTTCCAGTTCTCCGAACGCTAACTCAAGGTCAACAGATTCCCTCAGGCCTATGAGACGTCCTGTGCTACTGGTGGGGCTTTGGGAAGGTGCCAACACGGCGAACTTCCTGATCTCCTGGTGCCAGCTACTCTGCCCCACCAGGAGGCAAAGTCCTCACCACACCCGACCCTCCCCTGCCTCACTGGCAGTTCAGACGCCGCCCCAGGGATACTTTCTACTCGGAAAGTCTTTTAGAGGTCAACGTCTCGCCCCCGCTTTCACAGGCACTGGAAACCCCAAGGTCACTTCCACCAGACCTTCGGGGTCTGAGAGTAGTTCAGCACACAACTCAACCCAAACCAAGTTGGTTTCGCCCGTACGTTAGCACCCCCCACGGCGGCCACGTGCGTTTAACCGGAGCCACAAAGACTCCAGGCCGCGCGGGCCAGTTAAGTCTGAGCTCTCCAGCCCCGAGTGCTGGCCATCCCGAGCGAATGCAACGATCCGAAAGCTCAAGCCCGCACCCCACCCGCAGCTCGGGGCTCACCGGGTGCGCAGCGCCTGCCACGCGGCGTCGATGTCGGCATAGAGGTTCTTCTCGGAGGGCTTGCCGGAGCTCACGCCGTAGCCCGAGTAGTCGTAGGAGAAGATGTTGCAGTTGATGCGCGAGCCCAGGCCGATGTAGAAGCTACACATCTGGCCCAAGTCCACGGCGTTGCCGTGAGAGAAGAGCAACGTGTAGCGGCTGGAGGGCGCGCAGCGCACGAACATGCACCCCAGCCGGTTGTCGCGAGCCGTGCGGGAGAAGAAGACCTCGACGGCATCCAGTTCGCGCTGCGAGTACTGCCAGTCGGCGCGCTCGCTCAGGTGCAGGCTGCACGCACCGGGGCCCGCGCCCTCCTCGGCCGGGGCGGGCTGAGCCGCCGGGGCGGGCGCGGGGGTCGCAGCCGGCGCGGGCGCGCGCTGCTCGGGCGCCAGCACCGTGTAGGTGGGTTCGGGCGGCAGGAAGGCCAGCTTGGCGGCGATGCGGCTCGGACAAGGCGGGCAGCAGAAGAGCCAGCACAGCTCGCCCAGCGAGAAGCCGTTCATCCTGGGGCCGGGCTCGGGCATCGGGGCGGCCTGGAGCCCGCCGCGGGCGGGAGGGAAGCGCAGAGAGCTCCGAAGGAGCGCGCGCCGGGAGCGGGAGGCCGGCCGAGGAGGCGGAGAGGCCAGGGGCGGGACCAGGCAGGCGCTACGCGGCGAGCGGGGCGGGTCAGCAGCGGCCCCGCCGCCCCGGCGAGGCGCGGACGGCCGGGGCTTGCGCGAGGCACACAAAGCCGGCGGCGGCGGCGGCGGCCATGGCCCGCTCGAGCGCGCCGCCCCGCCCCCGCACGCTGCCGCCACTTCCGGGTTACCGCGCGGCGCGCCCCCACAGGTGGGCGGGGCTACCCCTCCGAACGGACGCCCTAGTCTGAAGCGAGACTCCCCCATCTGGGCGGAACTCCCGCCTCTGGGCGGGGCCACTCGTTGGAAGGAACCCCGGGTCTCGAGCGAGGATCCTGGATGGGGGCGGAGCTCTTGCGTCTGGGGCGGGGCTCATCTTGTCAGGGGCGGGGCTCTGGAGGTAAGGGGGCGGGGACGGTTAGGATTGTCCTGGAATGAAAGGTGGTGTGCAGGTACCTGCGGATTCGATTCTCCAAAACCAACTTCTGCCCTGGCGGGGGCTTATTGGAAATTTATGGAAAAGAAAATTATTAGGGAAGAGAATTGAATGAATTAAAAATACCTTGCTCTCGTCTGTTCATCACTATTTTTTTTTTCTCTGTCTTTTGGTTGTTTGAGACAGTTAGCCTAGGCTGGTTTAGAACTCATGATGCTCCTTGCCTCTGCCACCAAGTGCTGAGATTCCAGACTTTTTGAACAGCCTCTCCCATACCAGTGCCGGACCATCTCGTGCCTGTTCACGTGTTGCAGGTGGCTGCCGTGTGTGTCGCTGCGCCAGTCTTTCTGTGCCCACTATTACAGCATAGCCTGATGGTTGTTACAACAAATGATGTTGATGGGGTCCTTGCTCCGCACCCCACACACCTTACATCAGCCCCTGTGGTGCCAACTGGATACCCTGTGTCTATCTTTTATGATGTCAGTTTCTTTCATATTGTTTTGGCGCCAGTTTTAATCATGAAAGACAGCAACGGTTTTAAGCCACTGTGATCTTGGCAATCAGCTTCAGGTGGTTTTCCAAATATAACACTCAGGGCCTTTGAAGCCATGGGAACCAGTTGGCAGAGCCTCTGCCCTTCCCCCATGGGCTTTGGCATCAGGCTCTCCTTTCCGGAACAGAGAGGAGGGCATCCCAGGCTACCTACAATGCAATCAGAGCCCCAGTGGGCAGTCGCCACTCCAGACCTCGTTCCCTTCGCAGAAGGCCTGAGAAGGCCACTTTTTTTTCGAATTTTGAGCACTATAATTTAAACTAATTTATCAGTACCAACTTGTAGTGACCTTGACTGAGTTTCAAAAGGCCATGTCTTTACTAAATCAAGTGTTAGATGTGTTTGAATTATCAAACTGTTCCCAAAGCCTGCCCACAAAGCCTCTTCAAGTTTGCTGGGAAAGACTGTTTTCCCCTAGGCAGGCTTTAGTTTCTGGCCTTGAGTTTCGTTTTTCCCAAAAACTTTGTGAGTGGTTACATGTTCTTATATTTTGCCTCTTTGTTTCTTGTATTCTGTAGCTATGTGGGTGGTGTTTTTCATGCTGTTGTGCCCACTGGTCAGGTGCTGGAGCTACAAAAGATAAGACAATGTCTGCCGTGGTCAGGATGCTAAGAGAAGATTAAAAACCGCTTTGCATATACATTAAAGAAGCTATTAACTCAGAAATGGTGACGGGGTAATCAGAAGTTCAAGGTCATCCTCAACTACGTAGTGAGCTGAGGCCAAACTGGACAATGAGACCCAGTCTCAAATACATACATACATACATACATACATACTCACATACATACTCACATACATACATAGTCAAATACATACGTACGTACATACTCAAATACAAACATACGTACGTACATTCATACTCAAATACATACATACATACATACATACTCAAAATACATACATACATACATACATACATACATACATAGTGGGTTTGGAGGATAGAACTCCAATCATCAGACTTGATACCCTTGATACCACACAGTTTTACTCACTGAGCCAGCTTATAGCCTGAGGCAATGGTTTCAGGTCCCAACCTGGTGGCGGTATTTCTGTGCGGAATAGACGTGTAGTACATTGCACACTAATCTAATGCAGAACAAGAACAGAGGACTCTGAGAAGTGAGAAGAAAAGTATCCACTACTTGGTGAATCTTTCTCCAGCACCGCTCCTCCCACGTTAGAATGGACAAGAACAGAGCTCTTGAAAGGTTACCCAAGGATTCCTAAGTCCACATCTTTGCGCTGCCAGTGGAAAGGACAGCAATCACATTCCAGATGTCCTGGTAGCAGTCCTCAGACTGTTGGGCTACTTCAAGCTGTTTATTTGGTTTAGTCTCCGTCTCTTTCCAAAAGGGATTTGTGCAATATGATTTGGTACATTACCGATAACTAAATAAAAAGCCTAAATGTTTAGATCGCTTTAGGAGACTAGGCAGAGTGAGATTTCCTGGAAAAATAAGCCCTTTCATATTAATGTGATTATTAAACTTAACCCCTTACATTGTGTACCATAGAGAGCAAGCCTGCTTGCCCATACTATGTAGAGGAGAGACTAGAGTTTGTGCGGCCCTCCAAGATGATATGTTCCGCCCAGGGGCTGACAGGCTCAGCATCTCAGAACATTTGGCATGTAAAAAAACCTTCAACAAACACTTTGCAGCTCTTTGGATGCTACCCACTCTGTACCGTCATCTTTAGATATGAGCATCCACAGGCACCACCTTCAGGTACAAACATCCGCAAGTGAGACAGTGTGCGTATTGAGCTGGGGTTTAACACCTACCCCAGAGAAGTGCTATGCCCTGTAAGATGCAAGGGCTGGGGTTAATTGCTGTCCAGTTTGACCTTAAAGAACTCTCGTGTGATTCTTAATGTTCTAGCAGAGTAAGATCTATCTAACTTTGAATTCGGATCAGCAAATGTATTTGTTGGGTGTCTAGCATGAGTCGGTCAATGAATTGACCTGGGACACGTGAAGGAAAAAGTTCATGCCACAGCCAAGCGTAAGGATTGTCAATGCCGCTGAAACAGCGCTATCCCCACCCACCAGCTGGGGCTAATGAGCTCAACAGCGCTCCATGTAGCTGAAAGGCATTGGTTCCTACTACTTGATAGTAGAGGCATTTACATGTTTGACATTATCTTTCGTATTGGTCTTCTACATGCTACGTTGCTGAAGATTGACTTGATTTATAAATGCAAAGCCATATTAATATGGAAAAATAGATCCATGTGTTATGGCCAGAAGAGAAGGCTGGACACACATGCTTAGAAACTAACCTGTGAACTATAGAGCTGGCTCGGCCTTTAGAGCATGCGCTCCCCTCACAGAGGCCCTGAGTCCAGTTCCCAGCACCACATGCAGTCATGTGCACACATGCACACAATTAAAAGTAATAGAAAAAAATCTTTAAACTACAAAACCTGTCTCCTCTGTCAGGATGGAATCAGACACACTGTCCTGTTTCTTGCTTTTGTTCATTCTGACACCAGAGACTGAAGTCAGGGACAGGAGCCAAGTGGATTCTGTCCACCACTGTTTTCCCTATGACAAGCATAGATGACGGAGTTTCGAAAACGTTATGCTGCTAATGAAGGAATGATTTGGTGAATAACTCTATGGACCAAGCCTGTTCCTTTTGGTGTGAACAGTATTAATACAATGTGGCCTGGAGGAAGATCAAAGTGACCCACACTTCTGCTAACATGACACTTGTTGACCAGTGTCCATGTGCTCTGTGACTTAGCTGCGCAGCCACCCCACCTTTCTTGAAGGCAAAGCCCAGATTTTGTCCTCAGTAACAAGGCTTACAAGGAAGATAGTCACCCAGCCTCCCTTTATATAAGCAGAGCCCCATGACATGACTCCACCCAGGAGTAGCAAACATCCTGAGGATCTTCCAGAAATACATTCTTTCTTTTCAGGACTGGTGAGCAACTAGGAGTGGGATTATATGGTAGGTAGACAGATGAAAGAAAGGGACCACAGCTAGGTAATAAAGATGGAGAACTTCCAAGGTGGCTGGCTTCTTCTTTATCCTCCTCTGGCATATTAAAGATTTAAAGGTCTTTCTCCCGCCCACAGTCCCTCTGCTGAGGGACTGGCCCAACAAGTTCCAGGTTGGATCAGGTTATGTTACACAACAGTTGTGGGCCAACCATCCTATCTTTCTTCAAACAGACCAACCCTAAATCAGGGAGGAAATCTCTCCAGTCTAAAAAAAAAAAAAAAAAAAAAAAAAAAACCAACCCTCTAGAGGAGACTAGATTTCTCAGCTTTCTGAGCCCCCCTCTGCTTTGCCGAGGGTCTTTGTCTTTGTGTTTCTGCTTCATGGATGTTTCCTCACCCCAGTAAACACCTTTCTTCAACTGTTGGTTTTATAGGCTCCTGTTAGCTGTGTCTGAGATTTCTACAGTATTACTTGTCTCATTCTTTTCCTGCTGCCTGTGGATCTGGATGTAGAACCCTCAACCTTTCCAGCATCATGTCTGCCTGTATGCCACCATGCTCCCCACCATGATGATAATAGACTAAACTTCTGAACTGTAAGCCAGGCCCAATTAAATGCTTTCTTTGATAAGAGTTGCCGTGGTCATGGTGTCTCTTCCCAGCAATAGAATACTATTGAAGACAGAGGTGGTCTCCTTAACACAATTTCAAAAGAAGTAAGCCCCTCCCAGTGAAGAGTTTATCAGGCCCTGAGAAGAGTAAAGGGGAGGAGATTGACCCAATTTTCCACCAGTTTCCAGGACCAAGTTGCTCAGAATTTCCTTCAGAGTTCTATTCATCCTTTCTATCTGGCCTGAGCTTTGTGACCTATATACATGGTGTAATTTCTAATTAATACTTAATACGTTTGTCAGATTTTGAGACACTTTGGCCATGAAGGCCAAGCCCTTGTTGAACCCCAGAGCTAGGGGCAATCCAAATGTAGAAATTCCTTAGTAACTATTGGAGCAGTCTCTTCTCAGGTGGGGTAGGCTTCTACCCATGCTGAGAAGGTGTCTACAAACACCAGCAAATATTTATAGGCAGAAACAGTAGGGCAGATTCCAGTAAAGTCACCTCCCAATGTTCCCCCACACGGTTTTCTCAAGCCTGGATCCCTTGTTGGGTTTACCTGAGCACAGACAGCACAAACTAAAAGTGGTGTTTTTACACCACTTAAATATCTGGGCCTGAGGAGTTCAGCAGCGTCTGCAGCTCCAAAGTAAGTGGCTTGGTGTAACCGGTTG